CATGTTAAAGTTATTATCCACTTAAAGGCAACACTCCATTCTTCTATTATTGATAATTGTAGCGATTTTTCAGAAAATTTACCAATACAAAACTTGTTATACATGATCAAAAATCTGAAATAGCAGACGATTGTAACGATTCCAAGAAATCATTACCGCTCTTAAATCTGATAGAAATGTCAATATTTCTTATAGTAATTAACACAAAGATTATGTCGTTATGTTTATTTTTGAGATAATGTGTGCAGGAATTAATTGCTAATATACCTGACACAAACTATTAACATTTAATGTTGTGTTTACAATGTCTGAAATCGGTTCTTTAGTCTATTCCTATATCAGTATATAGATCCTTGCGAGTGATTCAAGTCGATAACTCAACATTGCACTCTTGGATTATTATTTTTGTAACTGAAATTCCGGAAATGTGTGAAAATTATAAGTGTTTTTTTAACATCAATGTATATAATTGGGTGAGTGCATTGCACCTTGTCTTTATATCTATATCTATCAGTAATAAAAATACATTCTAGAAACATAAATTCCAGTACAGTTGAGGTAGGAATTATTCCGGTACAGTTGAGGAATTATTCCAGTACAGCTGGGTTAGGGATTATTCCGGTACAGTTGAGATAGGAATTATTCCAGTACAGTTGAGGTAGGAATTATTCCGGTACAGTTGAGGAATTATTCCAGTACAGCTGGGTTAGGGATTATTCCAGTACAGTTGAGATAGGAATTATTCCAGTACAGCTGGGTTAGGGATTATTCCAGTACAGTTGAGATAGGAATTATTCCAGTACAGTTGAGGTAGGAATTATTCCAGTAAAGTTGAGATAGGAATTATTCCAGTACAGCTGGGTTAGGGATTATGCCAGTACAGCTGAGTTAGGAATTATTCCAGTACAATTGAGTTAAGAATATAACAGTACAGTTGAGGTAGGAATTATTCCAGTATAGTTGAGGTAGGAATCAGTTGAGGTAGGAATCAGTTGAGGTAGGAATTATTACAGTACAATTGAGTTAGGAATTATTCAAGTACAATTGAGTTAGGAATTATTCCAGTACAATTGAGTTAGGAATTATTCCAGTAGAGTTGAGGTAGGAATTATTCCAGTACAGTTGAGTTAGGAATTATTCCAGTACAGATGAGGTAGGAATTATTCCGGTACAGTTGAGGAATTATTCCAGTACAGCTGGGTTAGGGATTATTCCAGTACAGTTGAGTTAGGAATCATTCCAGTACAGTTGAGTTAAGAATATAACAGTACAACTCGGTTAGGAATTATTCCAGTATAGTTGAGGTAGGAATCAGTTGAGGTAGTAATCATTCCAGTAAAGTTGAGTTAAGAATTATTCCAGTAGAGTTGAGCTACATAATAGTTGCAATACAATATTAATTAATAATAATTAATTATTCAGAAGAAATATTACACTTAACATTCCATTATTTTTGTATTTCAATCTACACAAAACAACTGTACAAAATGATCAAATCTAACTTCACATGCAACATATTTTTTCATAATACATATACTGTTTTTCATTTGATTACTGGTATTTCGGGAGAAGGTTACTGTCACCAATATCTATAAGGTAATATTACTTACAGGATAAATTAACTTATTTAAAAAGAATTGGAAAGCATAATATGTCTTTTTAGATTTAGCAAGTTATGTAATAAATTTACCTCGGTTTATTTTCGTAAGTTTTAAGTATACAGTATGTGGACAAATATTGTTGGTAGCCAACCATTCAAACACATGGACGTTATGGTGATCTTCACAACTAGGGGAATTCACATCTCCTTTCAAATTGTTGTCAGGAATAAGTACAAAATCGAAGAATATTCCATATTGATATTTACGAAATGTTGTAAATTATAGGGTAAGAACACATCTCCATCAACATTTTCACATTTATATTGGCTAATTTCGATTTTCCTGGCTCGCTTCTATATTTCTAGTCTTTATGACTAGAAAAGTTAATCGGAATAATCCGTTTAATTCAGAGGTTACCATAGAACCTACACTTGTGATCTAGAGGTAACACTGACAACTCCATGCCACTGTAGTTAATTAGACATCCAGACATCTTTATAACATTACCTGAATGTTCGTTAAAAATTAGGTTGTCAAAAAGATATTTCTATCCAATGGCACCGTTGTTACTTGACCAAGTAAAATTTTACCGAATCGAACAAGAAAACGATTACTAATATGATATTGTAGACGTAAAATAATGGTTCCTTGTTGTGCTCATAACAACTTATCTCACGAGTTATGGATCTAAGTTACGATTTCATCAAACGTTACGCATGATGTCTATAAAAAAAGGGGGGAAAAAGAAAGAAAATACGAAAGATGAAGTCTGGTTGTGCTAACACTTACGATTACATTTTTGAAGACAAGAAGTGTTTGTATTAAGGGAATTCATGAAGGCTTGGTTCCAATTGAGTCCTTCTACTATTTCAAATGTCTCCGTGTAAATATGTCTTCTGGTAACATTTTGCCATGCTAGTTTTATCGAATTTGTGTTTGAATTAAGATTTTGTTCATATATAGGTATTTTCTTCTTTTACAATAAAGAATTTCATAAATGTTGGATTCTGGTAACTGTTACATTGAAGGGTTTCGCGAATGCTGGATAGCGCTGGTCGTTACATCAAAGGGTTTCCCGAATGATACGTGCTGCTGATGGTTACATCAAAGGGTTTCCCCGAATGAAAGGTGCTGCTGGTAGTTATACAGATGGATCTCCTGGTTCCGGTTTGTTCACATGCAGGTTAGTGATAACCATTGGTTAGCGAAAATTTGCAAAGACAAAGTAAACAAAATAAAGGACATTCTTTATCATTTCACAGCTATAGGTTTGTTGAGACAAGTCAGATTAATATGTTTTAAGCATTAATTTTCAATTTGATGCTTTTGTATTTTGTATGTGGCAACAATTTGATTTTTCACTAACTGATGGTTAACTCTAGCTAACCTTTGAACAACCGGACCCTGGTGTTCGTCAAATGGAAGTACCCATCAAATAATTCAGTAAAAGAGACAGTGATATACTTCGTTATTTCTTCTTTAAGGTTAGCTGGGTACTACTTTGCATCTGATTTGGAAAATTTCTACCATGCTATGATAACAAATAGATTTAATACAGGACCTAATGAATGCGTTTAACACACATGCAATAAGAACAATAAAGTCTATTTAATTTGTAACTTTAATATCAGATTTCTTTGGCACAATAAAACAATAGATATGATGCGGTACATTATAATCTCATAATCAGTTGTAGTTTGTTATATCGAACATATGATTCCGATTTCACATAAAAATCAATGAAATATGAACTTATGACTTGTATTAAATTTTATAAATAATGATGTGTTAAACTATACACTAAGACGTCAAGGTGAATTATGTAGGAATGGTGATATCGTAGCTGCCACTTTTTGTCTATTCAGTGTAATAATTGATATCATATTAGTATGATTGACGTGAATATACCTATTGACTAGTTAAACACAAACATAATATAGAGTCATTCTACCTGGAATTTACGATTTACATCAAATGTACCGATGAGAACACCAACACCACAATCTATAATGTAAGTTAATTTTCGCGGAATGCTGGCAATAACAAAGGTCAATCTAAATTGTCCTGTTCATACAGAGAACAAAAATGTGCACGATATTTGTCATTCAAATTTTATGCGTTTTGAGAGTAGTTGAGATCGCGTTTTTTTCTCCAAACACGTTAAAAACTCTTACCATGTAATGCTGCAAATCCATTAGCGTTTATCTTTACTCTAATCTGTAAATCGAATGTATTAGTAAACACTTTTCCTATTCTTCAACGAGAGTAAATGAATGGACGTGGTATAACAGACTGCATTCTGCTTAGCTAAGGCAATACCAGCTCTACCATGCACCGCGATCACAGGTTAGCATTAAACTCGCACTATACTTTGGATTATTATTTTTCAATTTAGGATGGTGCGTCAGTGAAGACTGTTTTAAACGGGAAAGTGTTTTGAACCCTTTCACACGACTCACTCGATACAAACCAGTGAGAAGGTGATGTACCTTACATTATCAATAAAATAATCTAAATGTATACAAAAATGTCGATTCTCACGTGCCTAACAAACCACGGCATATGATACACATAGCTCGGTCTGCTTCCTTTAACTAGCAGCTGAGGTATACATTTACAACAGGTTTTGATATACTGCACACTATTCATTTGAAGCTTTTCCCAAGCTGTCATCATTCATACGTTCTCGCTACACTATGATTAGGGAGGAGTTTTCGACAAATCTTTGTACTTTTCAGATACTCTACGGGGTGTATAAAACACAGACAGGTAAGCAGGTACTCGACCATATTCGTTTAGACCTCATATAGGGACGGAAAACAATTTGGAGTCGAGTCATTGTTCATTCCATTCGCGGGAAGAATGACAGATGACAGGAACACAGTGTGACATTCATATGTACAGACGTATTCTGTTACGAGAAAGTCGACTTTGGTTCCCATACTTATTTCAATATGTGTGAAATTTTTCCTTCTGTAAACATGATACAGGAATATTTTTTTTAAACATTTGAATTTTGGGTTTTAAAAATGATTCGTACACTAACATGACGAATTTATTTTAAGAAAGATGGACAATAAAAAGTACTTGCTCATGTTTCGCATGATATCTCAACAAGGCTTTCTTTATGTGTCTCGATGTAGACATTAACGTCAAGGTTACCTTATCATCAGGATTAAGGAGAGGTGCTGTGGTATGCCCTCGTATCAGAAAAAATACCTATCTGGATAATCTCCTTCGCATAGCGAGGTCTAATTCCAAACATATCCATAGAAAAACGCCATAAAAAGACACTATATATGAATACCGTATATGTAACAGGGTAGATTTCTGTTTTTTATCCGTAATCTTTGAACCCACCAGGGGGGTTTTGTCATAGACAGGTGTAATTGTTGAGATTCAAATGAAAACCGGAGCCTCCACTCTTCGCATAGACTCACTAATATTTCTGTTTACGGTGTCGAAAGTTAATTGACTTTGTCCCTCCCACTGGCGATACTTGTCGGGTACTTGACTATTATTGTTATGTCTACTGATGTCGCCACAGGGCTGCCCAATAGAGGAACACCTATTAACTGGATTGAATGACACTTTATCAGCGTTGTTCTTGTCACTTTTGCTATGTTCCACTTCACTGGACCATATATCACTATCAGAACACCTTCCCGAATCCTGACTGTCAGAAGAACTACGGAGACTTTTTGAGTATCCCGTTAAATCGAACTTGGATCCGGAGTGTGAGTCATGACAATGAAATATATCCCGAGATTCGTAGTCCGTTGTAACACCAGTGCTGAGCTGTTCCTGCAACATCACATAATTTCCATCAGGATCTTGTACAAGGAAAGTCCTGTCTCCAATCTCGATAAGATCACAGTCCAGAAATGTCTTAATTGTGTCTATGTGTTTTATCTGGAACGTAAGGCAAGCATTATGCACTGGATAAGGTCGTATGTTTTTGGACTGTTTCAGTGCAAGCTGAATATCTAGCCCAGGTTGTGAATACAATTGAAATATACAGAATCCCGGCTTGCTACTTTCGATCTCCATATCGGTGACGCATCTGTAGAATTCCATCATCTTCTGAAAATTCTGGACATGGAATAATATACGAAAATGCTCGTTTCCACAGTGTACAGGACATACTGACCATAAAGGCATGTCGTCCGCGAGTCCATAAAACTCCTGCGCGGCCACCGCTCTTTCTGGTGTCCACTTGCTGTGTAACTCCACTTTGTGGTGAAATTTCCATGGTTTCCTCTTCAGACAGTTCTGCACGTTTGCTGCCGACATAGTACCATGCTCATACAAGAACAGCATGATAGTAACAGCGGGGACCATTACAATATTCTCCTCACAGTATGAAGGACGTAAAACATTTTTGGGAGAACGATTCTTCCACTCAGCTACATTATCATCCATTATTTGTAGCATTTGGAAAGATGGATCTATCCATTTCATTAAAGGTGAGACGATTTTCTGAAATCGTCCCTTCTTTCCAGACGGCACAGAAATATTAAGTCTACATTTATAGGGATTTTTGTCAGTCTCCATGGTATATGCAGTAGATTCTTTCTTGTTTCAAATACGAATCATCAACACTACGGTTAAAAGGCTGTCGCACTACATCACATCTTTTACACATCCACTGTATCGTAGACAACTACAATAGTTAATATCAATGTTACGAAACGCGGAGAGGGAACAAGCATCAGTACACCTCCTTACTAGCACTAATGCTTACGATGCGTAGTGTAAAGTGCAAACGAGCGTACTTATTCACGTTATACGCGACACAACACTGCATTTAATCAATATATGTTTATATTAAATCCAGTAAGGTACAAAATTAATCTGTATCGATAATTTCCCTCCATGATGGGTAATAAGCATGCCTGTCGTCGTAGCTTGTCGTTGGTATCAGTGGAACTCAGTGGAACTGACTATACCGAGTGTCTCCAAGCCCTTATACCGTTAACCGCTCGCTCGCCGATAACTTCACTAGTTAACCATGTGTGTTTCTTTAGTTATAATAGTGTTCAGACAAACCTATTCTCATCGCATGAGTACGTTCCATTGACCTTTAGCGACCCGATTGGTATTGTCATTTGATTGGCTGAGGGGCGGGAGTATACCTAACAATTACACGCGCTGGTGTCTAAAGAATACATACCTACAGCGGTAGTCCTATCACTGGCAATGTACTCCCCGCACCGTTTAAAAACCAATTCACTTTTCCTCTTGTGAGACTGACGATGTCTGTTGGACATTTAAAATGTTTATAAACCACCTAAAATATTAATTATCACATATCGAATGGGAGATTTATCATTCTTGATTGACAGTCTTATAGAGCAATTACAATATGGTTTACAACCTGCTCAGAAATCCATTATCTGACACAGTGGCGGGGTCAGTGTGGTTACGTCAGGACTGTAAAGGTCACGTGTCCACGTGATACCCAAACATAACCTTACTACATATTTCAATATTCAGCCTTTCACACATACACATTATACAAGTAATTGACATTCCGTGTGAAATTTTGTAACAGAATACTCTTTATGCAAATCCATGTAAATCAGACCCATTGCTTTTTTGGAGAGAAAATGGGTTTACGTCTCGGACAAATTTACGAGGGGAACAATAAAAAGGATATGGTGCTGAATGAAAATGCTATCAAATGTTTATTAACAAATATTTAAAATTTCATTTTTAATTTTAAAATTTCTCATCAAGGTATAAGGTTTCATTAGATTTTCCGTGACGATTTAACAATCGTTGGTATATATTCAGTATGTAGTGTCATATTAATGAGTTACCCCCTGAAAAACACAACACACAAAAGAAACCTACATTCAAAATTAATTCAGGTGTATTTTCTTTTCCTGACCAACACAATGAATACAGCAGGTGTGACTGAGGAACGGAGGGGTCAGTCAATACGTTTAACCACGTGTTCTATTATACCGTCTTCAAGTTTAGTGGTCTAGTATAAACCTGCCGTAGGGAATTTGCTTTTGATATAGCTGCTGGTATCAAGATTATGATTTTCTAAAGTAAAAATTCTAGTTTCATGCTTGGTGAGAGATATATTCTCAGAAAATCAATGTATATTCTTAAATTTCGTTTTGAGATGCTGATCAATTACTTGTCAAATCTTGTTACAAATGCTATTAGTAGATTGACGTTCTCCTTAGCATTAACATCCTGTATTTATCTTAAACGAATTCTACATTAACATAAAAAGGCATTACTTCATATCTACTATAGATTGGAAATAAATGACATGTAATTAATATAAAAGATGCCTCACGTTTAATGTGAAGTTAACTTACGGCATGAGATCAGCCTTTAAGAGAAGTTGGCCCGCCAGCTATCTACCATTAACGGAGATTATAAAGGCATATATCATAGCAGGTTCACAAACCAAATCGATCTTCTCGTGGCACTGGTGTGTTATAAACATAAATACTATGTGTGATGTGTTAAAGGTAACATTTCTCATAGAAGGTGACATTAACGTGAAAAGACGTGGACGGCTACATGAATAGACAGTCTTTTGAATACCAATAATGAATATCAAGTTTATTGATTTTGTGATGGATGGGCCAATTATTTCACAAACATGTAATAATGATATAAAATTAAATAAGTATTATATCAAGAGATTTACAATATATATATATATATATACTAATGGATAGTTAGTTTAAATATCAATCATACAATATATAATACTACATCACAGAATTCTGTCTCGTCCTATAAAGTCTCGTCAACGACGTAAATCATCCTCAACAATAATAAAAGATAGGGAAGGGGCCAGTACCTGTGTTATATCGTGATCTTTGAATACATTTTTATAGTGGATATAGAATTGAGAATACGATAAAAAATGTATTATATAGCGGCTTATTGTCCTATTAACAGTGATTTACAAATGGTCGGATTGTTGTAAAGAACAACGAAAACGATGACATGTCAAAAGTAATCTAAAATCAGTGAAACTAGCGTGTTAAAAAATGAGAAATATTTACGCGGAGACTCCTGAAAAATAACAGGGAAAATAAGACCATGTGTTCCGGAAGGGTAGCCGTCTTCTACTTTATCGACGGTACCAGCCATGAAATATTTTTTGTCAATCCATCTAAGCAAAATCACGTTCTCAAATGAAAACAAGCTCAATACGTCCAACTTCATATCACAAAATGAAAAAGAATATTTCCCAATGAGATCACTATAACGACCATAAACCTTCGACATAATCTTCATCGCTTGCATATATCGTGATATTGGGAAGAAGTCAATAAGAGATGTTACGATCTCAAAGGAGAACAAGGTTAATAATGAATTGATAATGAAAGACAATGAAAGAACTAGTATCACTTTCGGGCATCAAAACTATCTATCTTTCTAAAGTGCTTGCACACTGCTTTTCCAAGTTGTTTGAATCAGCTTACAACTGTGTTTTAGTATGTGATTGAATTATGATTCCGTATTGATGAATGTCAAAATAAACACTATCTAATATCTGAGCAGTAAGTCGTTTTCTCCGATTAGGTTAGGAAACAATACATACATTTCTACACTTAGTAAAGCTTTAAGTCAAAACGTCATACCATTCAGTCAATCAGCCAATCAAATTCTGTCTATCAAATCCGCCAAACTACTGGGCATTAGTTATCTGTATATAATGATGACATACAATTAAATAAATTGTTGATAATTTGATAATTATTGTCTGCACTTTTAAATGCATTCCTTCAAATCATGAAAAGATATATGACTATACAATATCTGATAAAAACAGGACATTTGTCATACATCCCTTGTGTCTCGCCGGCGGTCGACCGCAAGTGATTATGCTGCGATCTTTGCTGTGTTGTTGTTTACAGAAGGTGTTCAGACTGCCCTCGTCTTTGTCAAAGGGACCGTGTTTTCTTTATGACGTTCGAGTCTAATTACGTTAGCTGTAATCAACACGTATTTATCGTTTCGATAATATCGATCACAATCACTGAAAGCAGATTCAAGTTACACAAAACAGATGACGTGTTCCACTCAAATTAACTTTCAGCATAGAAAATTGATCATCATATGATCATTTGTTAAATGAAACAGAAAATTTGAAAGATAAACTATTGCTTTGTTTTTCCTTCATAATAGACTTACTGATTACTGTACATGTGTGTATCTTTATACGCGATTAGAGAGTGGGAAAAACAAAAACAAAAAACAAGCGGCTACATCCTGCCATATATAAACAGTTTTAGATTATAGAAAACAACACAGGAACAAAGGTTAGGTTTTTACAACAATAAAGATTTTATTAACAAATCCATCATATTGACGTATGTTGTCGAGTACAAGATGACATCACGGCAGAAACCATCAATGTGTGTGACTTATTCCGAATCATTAAAAGGGTGTAAGTACATCGTCACATCATAATGATATACTGTGAAAATTAACCAGAGAGGTAAATCGGTACCTGTGGGATTTAAATACGTATACTAGACAATAGCTGTTATGTGGTATATGTTATTACACTTTGAAGATTTCATCATTGACCTGGTGTGTTGATAATCAATAACAGTTCCTAGCGCGTTGGTTAAAAAGGAAATCAAATAGTTATCAGTCGCTGTTCTTCAACGCTGTCTGAAATATGATATCAGCTTGTTTGTCATAGTTTTGCTGGTTCGGCGAAGGATTCATTTGATGTGGTGTAAAAAAATCTAATAATTGTGTAAATCTGCTGTTATTTTGCCTGTTCATAAAAAGTCAACCCTATCAGGTTATCACATTATTTGGAAGGATTTTAAAACTCCACAGAAAAAGCATGTAACCATCGCCATATGTTAAATTCCATTGCAATGTCACAAATAATCCATGATCACATGTACAGCTTGTCAAAAACCTTTCATGTCATTATCACTATATTTTTTTATTTAAATTATTTGGTTTTTACATTTTTTAAACTGAATTTAGTTTGCTTGCAAATACATTTAAAATTTGAAGACTTTTTCGAAAAAAAATCTTTTAAGAAGAAACGGTCAGGCACAGCCACGTAGAGCAGGGTACTGGTATATACTTCGATTTATTTACCCGACAAATGAAAAGAATCCTCTTGTCAGATCCAATTGGTTGTTATTGTCACCGGCGAAGTGATATATAATGTATAGAAAGGGACCACATGTCAGAGAGACATATATATACCACATGTCCATGATATACAGGTACCACATATCAGAGAGACATACAGGGACCACATGCCAGGGAGACATACAGTGACCACATGTCAGAGAGACATATAGATACCAGATGTCAGGGAGACAGGTGAGTAACACATGTCAGAGAGTCATATAGGAACTACATGCCAGGGAGACATATAGATACCAGATGTCAGGGAGACAGGTAAGTACCACATGTCCATGATATATATGTACCACGTGTCAGGGAGACAGGTAAGTACCACATGTCCATGACATACAGGTACCACATGTCAGGGAGACATAAATGTACCACTTGTCACGGATACATACAGGTACCAC